TCTAGACAATGTGCAACTGCAATAAAAAAAGGCCAACACTATGCTGGGGATTATTAGAAAGGGAATTGAAAACAAATCAGCCAATATCATAATGCCCCTATATAAATCAATGGTGCGACCTCATTTGGAATACTGTGTGCAGTTCTGGTCACCACACCTTAAAAAGGATATTATAGCTTTGGAAAAAGTGCAGAAAAGGGCAACTCAAATGATAAAAGGGTTGGAACACTTTCCCTATGAGGAAAAGTTAAAGTGCTTTGGGCTCTTTAGCTTGGAGAAACGACGACTGAGAGGAGACATGATTGAGGTTTATAAGATTATGCATGGGATAGAGCAGGTAGAGAAAGAGGTACTTTTCTCCCTTTCTCACAATATAGGAACTCGTGGGCACTCCATGAAATTGCTGAGCGGTTGGGTTAGAACGGATAAAAGGAAGTACTTCTTCACCCAAAGAGTGATTAACACATGGAATTCACTGCCACAGGAAGTGGTGACGGCTACAAGCATGGACGGCTTCAAAAGGGAATTAGATAAGCATATGGAGCAGAGGTCCATCAGTAGCTATTAGCCACAAGGTATAGATAGGGGCTCTGGGGCAAGTGATGCTCTGTCTTCTTGGTGCTGGGGGGGTCAACAGTTGGAGGGCTTCTAATGTCCTGGCCCCACTGGTGGACCTCCTGATGGCACTGGTATTTCTGGCCACTGTGTGACACAGAGTGTTGGACTGGATGGGCCTTTGGCCTGATCCAACATTGGCGCCTCTTATGTTCTTATTGAATTCTTATGGAATGAGCCTTCTTCCTTGGAGGCCTTGAAGGCAAGGTTGGGACAGGACAGCTTGGGTGAAGGATATCCTGTGTTTGTGTCTTGTATTCCTCCTCTGCTCCAGACCAAGATCTTTTTCGTCATGCCTTAAAATATCGTGTCCACTCCTAACATAACCGCTGCGTCGACAGGATTTAATTAAGCAGCCTTTTCAGCAATGCAAAATAGTTCTGTGGCATTTTCAGTTCCAGCCACCGATGGTTAAATATTAACAGTTGATTGGAACATTGGATTTGATCTCTTGCAAACGCCTCTCAGGTGTTCTGTAACCCCTCAGATCTCTGCTGGGGTAGCAAATGCAAGACAAATGCCGCAGTTCCGCTCGGGGGCGACCCCTCTCTCACTGGGCTGTGTCTCTTTTCCAGAAACCAAGTCATGAGAAAGAAGCTGATTTTGTTTTTTAAGAGAAGGAATCATGCGAGGAAACAAAGGGTAAGGGTTCCTCTTTATGTGACTTCTTGGGGGATGTGTGAGTGCAAACTGTCTCTTGGTTGTAAGCATTTGTGGGTTATGAAGATTTTCATCTTGGTGTGATGGTTGTGGTTGAAGAGAAAGTCCCCCTTTGCTGTTTGTTTCCACTCACCCCATTCTCCAGAGCAGGGAGCCCCTTGAGTGCAGCTACCACCTGCTACCCAGGAGGGAGAGCTCTCCTCGGGTAGAAAGTCCATGAACTGAGCTGACCCATCGTGCAGCTTCTTCACAGGGGTCCTTATGGGACTGTGCATGGGTAGGCTGATGCCGCAGAGCATTCCGTAGCTCTACTAGAAGCATGAGGTGAATGGCCATTCCTCTCTCCTCCTTGGGCTGCAAAGCAGGCAGAACCACATTGTGAGCCGGCCAGTCAAGGAGCCATGTCACATGCTGCACGGCACCTCTGACTGGTGGTCCGTGAAAATCTGCACATGGTAGCAGGAGACCTGTGGGTTTTTCTTAGGCCCCTCTCTGCAGCCAAAGCTGTTACCGTTTTTGTTCGTGTGATGCAATGATGCTCCACTGCACTGGGACTTCTTGATCTCATGCCCTGTTCTCTTTGGGTGTTCGTGCGTGTGGAACTCCATAGGAACAGAAGATTTGCCAACGCTACGACCAGCTGATGGAAGCATGGGAGAAAAAAGTCGACCGGATAGAAAACAACCCCCGCAGGAAGGCCAAGGAGAGCAAGACCCGTGAATATTACGAGAAACAGTTCCCCGAAATCCGGAAGCAGCGGGAGCAGCAGGAGCGGTTTCAAAGGTAGCTGTCATACCATCAAAACCTCATGAGAAGAGATTCTTCCATGTGATGTTTTTTAATGGCCTTTAGGAAGGGGGGCTTTTTATGCAGGGGGCACCCCTCTTCAGGATTGTCCATAGACTGGTGCCTTGTGGGCGCTTGCGTTACCCTCTGCGACTAGCAGAATCAAACACTTATACAGAGTAGCAGCACAGTGGGAATTATTATGAAGCATTTATATACTGCTCTTCATGTGTGTCTGTGTGTGCTGTATGGCACATGGCACATGAGGCAGTGCCCAGGTTCCAGACCCACCCGTGTGCTTCAGAGAGTCTTGACGCACATTACCCTCAATCACCTGGGTGACTCCCTTGCAGAGCAGGCCGTCCTTTGCATGGTAGATGTGAGTTTGAGGTGATGAGAAACCACAACCCCCGATAGCTGCCTAGCCTCTCTGGCAGCGGGGGAGTTTGAACTGAGGACTGCCGGGCCTGTTCCCCACATGCTTGGCCTCTGCATGCTCAGCCTCTGCGCTTTGCCAGCTTGAAAATTACAAGTCAGAATGCTAGCTTTCATAAGCTGTGCTCGTTGCAGAACTGTGTGTCTGCCGTAGCCCAGGCTAGGGTTTGAGAGCCAACTTGCATGTTTCCCTATTGGCCCAAAGCCTCTTGTCATATGAATCTGTGGGTCAGATCAAAGGTCTCTGTAGTCCAATGTCCCCTTTTACGACAGTAGCCAGCTAGGGGTCTGAAGGAAGCTTCCAAGCAGGGCAAGGTGGTGATGGCCATTGCCTATCGTCTGCCTCTGGGACTTGGGCGTATATTGCCTTTAGATATGGAAGTTCCACTTAGCTGTCATGGCTCAACGCCAGCCCTTTCCTTGGAAAGCAGTCTAAGCTGGGGCCATCAGCACATCTTATGGCTGTGAATTCCATGCGATAACTCTGTACCCTGTGAAGAAGTGCTTCCTTTGATCTGTCCCGACCCCGTTGCCCATTGACTCTTCAGGGGATTGTTAGCTCTAGTACTGTATGAGAACAATGTGTGAAAAATGTCTGTCTTTGTCAATGAGTATGTGTTCTGTTTTTGGAGGGTTCCCCTCTGCCTCGCGAAAGGCCCGCATTGATTCTGAAATGTTTCCTTTTTTCAGCCGGGACTTCTTTTCTTGTTACATTCCTAGGGTTGGTCAAAGAGGGGCTGGCCTTTCGGCAACCATTGCTCGAAGTGAGCATGAAATCTCGGAAATAATTGATGGCCTTTCTGAGCAGGAGGTGAGGATGGGCAAAAGGGCAATGCTACTGTTCCGAGCTCGGTCAAGAAATTCGGGTGGGCGGGGACGCTCTGTGTTGTCCAACTCCATATAAGTATACTTTGAGGTTGCTTCGGTTGTTCACTGTTTATGTTGTGCTGTTGTTCCATAACCTAGCAGATGTCAGTAAGTTTATTGTGTGTGGCCGTTGGCCATAACAATGTAATATATAAATGCATAATATACATTTAAGATTCAGAAATACTATTCTAAAAACAAAGCCTTCGGAATAAGACTATATAACTATACAACATTTCCACAAATAAAACTTTCAACGTTTTAAAATGATAGAAGCTATGCTACCAGTTTTGTAGGTCTATGTAAGACAAAACTAGAAACAACCTTGGATCTGACTTTCCGGGCTGCAAGCGCAAAAAGCTCTGCCTCGCGAGTAACCAGGGGATACCTATCCGACAAGAGAAAAACCAACCTTTCATTATTACAAATTTCATACATTACAAAGAAATAATAGCAATGTTTTAATTTGGTACATACCCTGATTTGAGGTTTAAAAAAGTTAAGTTGTTGCAAAAATTTGCAGATAGGCTTGACAAATACAAGTTATGAACAGTTACTGTTAAATTCATATACTACAAATTACTATTCCTATACTGTATATACAAGATATGATGCTGTATTTGTTCATTCATTATTGCTTTTGCCAATTGTTGATGTATAGTTAAAAATTTTAAAAATAAATATTAAAAAAAAAATCAGGTAGGTTGCAAAGTTGGCTTAAAATTCCAGATAGGAATCTGCTTCTTAGGTCTGAATATAAAGGACAAACCATTATGTAATGAAATAGATCTTCCACTGGACCACATCACGCCAACCCCTCTCACGATACGGAGTTGCGTCGATTTCCTTGCAGTGGATCACATAAACCAAGCAGATAGTGAGCTTACAGTCTTAAGTTTTGACAGAGGTGGAGCTGTCAAAAGGAAGGGAGGGGAGAGAGTAAGACAGCAGCAACCTTTTAATCCGAGGAGATGGCAAAGGCTTCAAGGAAGAGACGCCTGTGTAGGTTCTGGCAGAGGCAGAAGAGAGAAGTAAAAGGGGCTGCTAAAAGCATCTTCCCCCCCCCCAAAAAAAAGTAGACTTCAGTTACTTCTGCTGGGAAAGTGGGGGGGGGGGCAGTGCTTCATTTTCTTAAGATAGAGACTCTCTAATGTGAAAGGAACTGATTCCAAATGAGGAATCATGCTCTGAGAAATACAGATGTTTATATATATATTCTGGGGCAGTGTTTCCTCTAAGCTGAGTTAGCATGAGCTAGCTCACAGTTTTTTAGCTTCCGGCTCACACATTTTTGTATCAGCTCAGGAAGGGTGGCTCCAGAGCAAACTAATTTATGCAGTAGCCAAATCACTCACTCACAGCTTTAATGCGAGTGGCTCCCAAAGTAAAATTTTTGCTCACAGGACTCCACAGCTTAGAGGGAGCATTGTTCTGGCGTGAGCAGATTTTGAGCCAGCTGACATAGGGGGCTGCCGACCTTCCCTTTCAACTTATTTGTATTTACCTTAATACATCCCATGGGAAGCTCTCTCTTCAGTCCAAGGAGCTCAGTGTGTCACGGCTGGGGTGGACAGCACTGCATCCTCACAACGACCTTAGAGGCAAGGCAGGCCTAGAGACCGGCAGCTTCTGGCCCAGCCAAAATCACTCCTCAGTCCATGCGCTCCACTCTCACCATTATCTTGCACTTGCCTGGAGTCTCAAACAGAAAACAGCCAGAAGTTGTTTTTGTCTAGCGTGGTCTTACGAGGTGTCTAGTGTTGGCGTTTGGCAAAACATTCAAAGTCTTTGCAGGACAGCGTCACGCTTTGAGAGAACTTTGTGGCATCGGGACTGAACAAGGATGTCCTTGCCAAAAGGAGGGAATCCTTTTTTAGTCTTTTTAATGAATATGGGACAGTCACTATGAGAGCTGAGCTTTTAAAAAAGTGTTACTGACTTTGTGATGACTTGACTTGAGGTCCCCTTAAGCAAAGACAGAAGCTGTGTACTATTAAAAAATGTATGGTGGGGTGTGCCTTTCCTTTTGTAGAATAACGAGAAACAAATGCGCCAGCTCTCCGTCATTCCTCCCATGATGTTTGACGCTGAACAGAGGCGCGTGAAGTTTATTAACATGAACGGGCTGATGGAAGACCCCATGAAAGTGTACAAGGACCGGCAGTTCATGAACGTCTGGACCGACCACGAAAAGGAGATCTTCAAAGAAAAGTAACTGGAGGGGGGTGGCGGGGTGGGGAGAGAAAGGTGTGTGTGAAAAGTTTTTTTTTTTCAGAATAGTGACGCTATCAGCTGTGTTGCTGTTGTTGAGAGAGAAGTTAATGTGGCGGAGGGGAGGTAGTTCACTAGAGCATCCATCTTCAGATTTAGTGTTCTTCTGAGGGACTCTGAGGAGAAAAGGGGGAAGCAATTGCCTATGAGCATCACAGAGGTATTTTAGGGGCCAGGGTTGGGAATCAGAGCATTGAGCTAGGCAGTCCAATCTAGTTGGGCTCCACTATGGTGAAAACCGGAGTTGCTCTCATATACTCTGCCATGAGTATCAAAGCAGAAAGGCGGGATATAAGTGCAATCAATTTTTCAGCAGCATCATTTTTATTATTACTTGATTCACCCATTTGAGTAATCGGGGCTGTATGAATTCCTCTGTGGTGTTGGATTGAGTTCTGAACACAGAATGCGGCATCCGGGAACTCTCAGCAATTTTTTAAAAGCATCACATTTCTAGCCCTTATGACCGTGAAGTTAAGGTTGAATCTTTCAGGGTGATCCTCTTGAAATCTCAATGAAAGACACCACTGGAGTGGCAAAGGGGATTGCCATTAGACAGGTGGTGGTCGGGGGTCGGCTTTGAATATTTTGCCTGCCTCTTTGCATTTAAATCTGTTGTAACCTGTAGAAGTTGAAGAATTAAGCAATTTTTGGCACAGAATTTGGAACACAGAACATGCTCAGTTCTGTTAATTCAGGAGGTACTTTTAGGGCACGGTCCTAAAGATGCTTCCCTTCGAGTAAGCCCCATTGAGTAACATTTGACTTGCTTCTGAGTTGACCTGCTTAGGCTTGTTCCCCTAGTCTTGGAAACCCAAAGGTATACAAGTAGAGTGTGCTGGCAGTTGAAACTTGCTCTTTGTCTTTGTACTTTTCTACAGGTTTGTCCAGCACCCCAAGAACTTTGGCCTAATTGCTTCCTACTTAGAAAGAAAGGTAAGGGGGGGGGGGCTGTGTATGTGCTCCTCAGAGCATAAGGGTTTCCCTTCCCTTTATTGTGCACACACATATTCACCTCTTGCTTGGGACAGTCACGTTGCCATGTGTTGGAGGTAGCAATTTACCCATAGACAGGTGGGAGCAGGCCCGTAAGCACAGGGGGCATTTGGGTGCAATGTCCTCCACAAATGAGTGCCACCCCCTCGGACAAAAAAAATCAATTTTATGGGGAAAACATAAGGTGGTCATGGGGTTTCCAGAATGACCCTGGGCACAGTCAGGGAAGCTTCAGTCTCATTATCTTTTTTCCGGGCCAAAAAATAAATAGGTTCTTTAGAATGCTATACACACACACACACACACACACACACATATAGCAAAAATAAAATAAAATTGCAAAATGCAAAAGAGAGGGAGTCGGAGATCCCCCCCCCCCCAGCTTACACATAAAAGCAGCCCGGAATTGAGTCTCTCCCATCAAAAGGACTAGAGGAGGACTAGAGGTTACAGCAGAGCTGGAGCTGCTCCTGCTGCTGCTGCAGGAAGAGCAGGAAGTGAAGCCGGGGCACCCCCCCCCCAATCTCCCCACATCCCACCAACCAAAATTTTCTGGCTATCCCGCTGGGTAGGAGAGAAACCACTAAACCCCCACAAATTATATTTTCTTGCAAGGCTTTAGCTTTGCGCTCCCTGGCTTGTGACGCCTGACTCCTTATTCAGAATGCGAGGGACAGTAGTGGGAGTGCGGGTGAAGGAAGAAGTCACCTTTGTCTCAGCTCCCTAACTGGAGCAGTTTTGGCCTAAAAGGTCCAAGCCAGGAAGAGGCGAACATAATACCCTCCTTGCTTGGCTGAGGCCCAGACATCTAGCAGAGAGATACTTTGATATCTTTACCAGGTAGCTTTGTTATTCTGTTGCAACAAAAATAAACAAATTTTGTGGCACCTCGGAGACTGATAGGGTTTTTGTTCTTGCCTTGGCCTTGTGGACTGAGCCTTAATTTGCCAGATGCATGCGGAGGGTCCACACTAGGTAGACTATATCATTAGTATGGGTACCACGTTAGTCTGTTTGTACCAGTAGAAAAGAGCAAGAGTCCAGTAGCACCTTAAAGACTAACAAAATTTGTGGCAGGGGAGGAGCTTTCTTGAATTAATGCTCACTTCTTCAGATACCGAAAAAGTGAGCGGTGACTCACGAAAGTGCATACCCTGCCACAAATTTTGTTGGTCTACAGCTCTATAATTAGTAGTACTGCTATATAATATGCGGTCTACTGCTATATAATTAGTAATAATAGAATATCTAATATACATGCAAGGTTATGTAGGGGGAAAATTGCAAGCAGCATGATCCAGGGGCTGTGACATGCAGAAGTTTCTTTCTTTCTTTCTTAGTTACAATCATAGATCAGTCACGATTGACACTCGTAGTTATCAGCACATTTGCAAACAGTAAAATTTCCCGGCAGCCTGGCAGGCTGATTTCAATAATAGAGACAATTCATAAGAAGACTTGACCAGCTGCTTCCTTGTTGATCTTGCCACATGCAGAAGTACAGGTTGAGACACAGTAATGTAAGATTCAAATCAGGGAAAGTACGGAGCCATTCGCAAGAGACACACTTGGTGATAAGGCAGTCTCTCCAGTTCTGCAGAGCCGGTTACCTCCTTCCATAAAGACAGATTCCAGGCAGGGTGGCCACAATCAGAATAACAAAGAGTCTTGCAAAACGTTAAAGATAAATATATTGTGGCTGAGGCTGCTGTGAACCTTTGGCTGACAAAACCTGCTGCCGCAATGCATTTGTTTGTCCTTAAAGTACCTTTGCCATTTTTAACACTTGTAAATGTCTCTTGCCCTGGCCTGGATGTCCCGGGCTAGCCTGGTCTCATCAGATCTTGGCTGCTAAGCAGGGTCGGCCCTGGGTAGTATTTGGATGGGAGACCACCAAAGGAATACCAGGGTTGCTACGCAGAGGCAAGCAATGGCCAAACCACCTCTGAACATCTCTTGCCTTCAAACCCCTTATTGGTCACCATAAGTTGGTTGCGCCTCGCTGGGGGAAAAACGTGTTTCCTTGTTTTTCTTTTTAGAATGTTCCAGACTGTGTTTTATATTACTACTTGACCAAGAAAAATGAAAACTACAAAGCTCTGGTGCGAAGGAACTATGGCAAACGGCGAGGGAGAAACCAGGTGCGTCGCTCGTTTTCCCCGCGCCCAATTCCCACTTGTGCCATTGTTTCCAGGCTAGCGTTCCCCAAACTTTCGACACTATCGGCATTTTTTTCCTCAGCTCCTGAACGGAAGGATTGGTGTCCTCCATATTAGCTGTGAAATAGGCCAGTTAATATTGCCTCCTGCCCCCTCTTTTCTTTTTCTCCTTCAAAGCTCACGAATGTTGCCTCCTGGACAACAGCAATATTTCTGGGATTTTCCTGGCCTGTTGTCCGTAGCACAGGCTGAGATCGAGAATCCTACTACGTATTTCATCCCTTATGGTGATGTCACCAAATGTATATTGGGAGGGGGCGGATCAGTGCATCTCGCCTGGTGGCTTCATTTTCTGAGGCACGCTTTGGCCCTCCCCTTGCCAGTCTCTGACCTGCCTTAGCACTCGCAGTTGGTGGACAGCTGCCTTTTAACCCTCAGTGTTGCGCAGGGCTGATTGCTTCTTCCTTTGAAGAAATCCGTCTGAGGAAGGACGAAAGAGGTCGAGGTCACAACACTGGAGCTCTGGAAAGGGATTCCAGGCATTAATTATTGTACCGGCTTTGTGTCTTCAAGCTTTTTGTCAGTCTGGCTGCTGAGCCCATTTAGTATCTGGTTTGGCTTGCTTGCTTGAGCCATCTAGACCTGTTGGTCAGTAAGCTTCTCACGACACGTGGCACACTCTGATCTGTGTAATGGGAGTCGGTCTGCCAAGGTGCTGACTGGTGGATGATTCTGCCTCTCAGGAGGGTGGCCTGGTTCCTTTCAGCATGGCAGCCTGTGAGGCAGGAGCGGGTGGGCCGGAGGGTTGTGAAGACAACCAAAGCCTGGCTGTGCTGCCACGTTTGTGTCTGTGGCTTATTTCAAGCTAGCCTTGCAGCGTTGTTTGTTGCCTGGCTTCTCTTGGTGTGTATAACCTGCAAACAAAAGTACCAGCTCCTCTTCTGCTCTCTCACCCCAGTTCAGTCTGCAAATGTTTCCTCACCTTGTTGCCTGCCAGGGATTGTCACCTGGCTCACTACCCTACCTTGAGCAACTCTTTTTTTTTAATCACTGCCCCCAAACCAGCAGATTAGTAGCTGCAATTTTCATGTGTCTTTCCATTTCTCACCGTTCTGGGACTGGGGGAAGAGGCTAATGAGCCCATTGAAAGCCAGTTTTTTTATTTACAAAATTTCTATCCCACCTTTCTGCCCTCCGAAGGGCCACCAAGGCAGCTAAGAAATTAAAACATACATAATAAAATCACATTTTAACTAAAAAAAAATCCCTCCAGCACACCATTAAAACAATTAAAGCCAGAGCTTGAAATACATACGAAAACATAAAAACAGCTATTAAAACAGTGGATAGTTCAACATGACACGAGTAGGGACATTTGGCTGATCCAGATTGTTGCCTACCTGAATGGACCAGCTGCAGAGAGAAGGGGGTGGAAAATGGGGAAAGATATCCCCTTGTTTCCCGTCTCCCCGTTATGAATTATAGTGCATAGCGAGTGCTTGAATTATTGCTGTTAATCCAGGAACAATCTTACAAAATAAGGAATGGAAAGGAAAGACTAATGTTTCGTGGGGGCAAGAATGAAAACTGATTTGGAGAGGAATCTTTTAATTAGTAAACTGGTATCTGACTGGTACTAACGTCCCCCAGATTTAGAGATGTGCAATTTCTAGAAATTTTGAAGCCCTTGGGACATTTCAAAACGACAACAGTTGAAAAATGGGAAAGCCCCGGGAAGTGATTTTATAGTAGCCAAGCTACTTAAATCACATGTAGATTGGTGGGCTCTGATATTGGCCAGTCTCTTCACATATATAGACTCAACAGCACAAATGTCGAAGGACTGACGCCTGGCCATTGTAGTGCCTATATAAGAAAGGAATCAAGCCTTTTAAATACCATTTGTAAATTATACACCAAGCATTTATGCCTGAAGCTATGTAAATGGTTAGAGCAAGAAAACCTATGAGAAATTTTGAACAGGCAGGATTTACTCAAGGCCGCTCAACTTTAGATCATTGTTTGGTCTTAGATTATCTTGCCCATAAGTATACAAAGTCAACAAAGGATAATCTATATGCACCATTCGTAGATCTTTGTGCAGCTTTTGATACTATTTCGAGGGGAAGACTATGGGCAAAGCTGGAAGACACATCAATAGTAGACAAAGGGTTGTTACACTTGATAATTAAATTACATGAGCATAATAAGCTTCAAATAAGATATACACAGGATAGTAAATTATCCAATAAAATCCTGGTACAAAATGGAGTCAGACAAGGATGTCTGCTTGCACCTTTTTTATTTACTGGGAGGGAAAAAGGTGTCAATCTTGATGTATGCAGATGATGCTGTTCCTTTGTCACAAACTAAAGTTGGCCTACAACGTGCCTTAAATTTAGTGATCAATGTGATATTGAACAGTTATTAATCAGTTACTCAAAAACCTAAAATTTTACATTTCAGTAGATGGTACAGGAAGGCTAACTGGAAAATCAAAGGTAACAGCGCTGACGAAGCCAAAACCTTTCAGTAGCCAGGAGTTGTTTTTACATACAATGCTAACTTCAAAACTCATTTGATCACATCAGCAAATGCTGCAGAAAAAAGTGCTAATGCTATCCTTAGATTTTCTAGGAAAGAGGGCTCAGGCTTTATACCTGCAGCTCTAAAATTATTCCAAGCAAAATCCTTAACTCAACTTTTACAGGGGTCACAAATTGTTTTAACTGATAATGTTAAGGTCTTAGAAACTGTACAATTGAAATTTCTTAGAGCTTTGTTTAATGCATCTCGATGCACTTCCAATGTTATTTTAAGACAAGAAACAGGCCTCCCCAGTGTAGAGCTAAAAATATGGGAATACGCAATTTATTTTTGGTTAATACCCTATCTCCAAGCCGCTGAACCCTACCCCGCATGGTCTGCAAAGATAATTGATAAAGTTAGGATGATTGGTTTGAATCCAGAAGAGCTTTTTGATATGGGTTTGAATAAAGCAAAGGCCCTGGTATTGCAAAAATTGATTTACATTGAATCTCAAAATGATGAAGCGATGCTCCCTATAAACTACAGCAGTTTGAAAAAGTGGCCAAATTATACATCAACATACCTCTCAAATATCATTTATGAGAGATATAGACGGACCTTTTTGAGAGCATGCTTCGATGCATTCCCTTCCGCGGTACTATTTGGCAGATTATCTCGGTTGCCACTGCAGAAGCGATATTGTCCCTGTTCTGGAAAAGTGATGGAATCTGTTACACATCTTCTCCTGCACTGTGAATTTTATCAAGAAGAAAGATTGCAATTAATTATTCCACTCCTCTCTAAATTCCTATCACTGAAGTATTATATGAACTTTAGTTCTGAAGTACTTTGGAAACATCTCTTAGAAGATACGCAGAAATCTGTAACTTGTGCAGTAGTAAAATTTTGTACTGTAGCGATTAGAAAGCAGAAATATTTGGAGTTACCATAATAGTTTTTTGAGCTCGGAGTTTTATGAGTATTAGATGGTTTTAAGAGATGCTTTGATCTTATGCTGGTTTTTGACCATAATAAACACTGACTGACTAAAAACAACAACATGAAGACAAGACATTTTAGGGGAAATTGAAATAAGTGCAGTACTTTCCAGTCAAACAAATTACTTTGGCTGGTTGAACAACATAAAAGGCATAATTTACAACTTTGTTAGCATATGACATTGTGCTATTTAGCATATTTGTGGAATTAAAATTGTAAATATCTTTTTCTATAAGAAAAATTGCAAGTCTGCCCGATACTTGAGAAGGAGTTGCAGACTGCTGTACCCTATGCTACCATGGCACATGTATTGTTTAATTTTTTCCGTCTGAGAGATTAACATTGAAGGTAGAAAACAAAATTGTAGCAAACAAAGAGTGTATCATTTGGACGGAAACTCTCTCTGAATCACGGTAGGTGGGACTACCAGGATGTTTAAATATTAAGTTAAACTTTATAACACTGAGCTCTTTCATAATGTTTTATCATTGAAAACATTAGAGCATATTAATTGTTGCCCAAATTATTTATACATTTAAACCAAAAAATCTAGAAAATGTTGAACATGTCAATTGTGTAAGAAATCCCCCCCCCCCCCAAGCACTCCCTAAAATTTCCTAATTTTTTAACTGGAAAAACTGCGAAAGTCCTCACACACTAATGCTGTGCATTTGGAATGAGTGAAATATTTTGCAAGACAAGGATTTTGTCCCTCGAAAATATCTCTCAGGAGTCTTTCTTCACTGTTCCCCCAAACATACATTTTTTTTTCCTATTGGAAACGCTTGTCCTGCCTCTAATTTTTTGTTCTTTTTCTGAGCCTTAATATCTCTACCCACATTCAATGTAGCTGAGATGTATCTCTTTTGTTTCCAGAGATCTTCTAAATGCATCTCTTTAAATCAAGCCATTTTAATTCCTTTGGGTTCTCAGTGTAATATAATATTATCTCCCAATGTAATTTAAGTGTAAGAGAGCTTACTTCTCTGCTTCTGGAGTGGCACATTGTATTAGATTTGAATCTGTACTCTATCCCTGCCCGTATAAAGTTAACAAAGATAATTGGCTATCTGTGTATTTAGGATGGATGGTTAATAGGAATTTTGGAAGAAGAGTGATTTTAGCTGTCATTCTATTTAACTACGAAATGTTTTAGGTGCTCCATTGAGATATATTGTTGTATTTCATCCATCAGTGTCAAGTGGCTGTTCTTAGTAGGCGTTTCTTGTTGCATTGACCACTGTTACCATGGCAATGTTAGCCATTTATGAGAAATACTTTTTCGAGCATTCTTTAAGTCGAGTAGGTATATTAATAGATCTCAGATTTTTAACTTATTTAAAACCTGCTGTCATTTCAGTCTCTCTTGAATCTGGAGAAATAGAAATGTAGAGATAACGTACAGTGTCATTAGCAAAACAGGTGTTCTTTTTCCATTTTAATACTCATAATAT